GCACAGTCACTCTCTGTGCCGAGTTCCACGTTCCCAACACCCTCTGGTGAAGCAGTTTCGGCTGAATGCACAAATTTGGTTTGTTTTCTCGGGCATGCTCTCCTCACTCTGAGTCAGAGGTTTGTAGGTTCAAGACCCACTGCAGAGCTTTCAGCACTGGATTATGTACAGACACTCCTGGAGCCAGTACCAGGGAGAGAGTGCTGCAATGTGAAAGGTGCACTGTTATGCGACGTTCCATCTCAGTCACTCGGACATCCTGCACGCACACATGGACACTGATTGCTTCTCAGTTCCGGAAGCCTCTGGCACCACACAGAGGTCAGAGGTCAGGGCAGCAATAAAAATTGGGGATTCGTCACTCTTCTTGAGTCTGTAGCATGGAAGCAGACCCTTCAGTCCAACCAGCCCATGCCAACCATAATCACAAATTAAAGATCTCTCCACCGTCAATTTATCCATTCCACAGACACATTAACACAGCAATGCTTCTGAAAGCGAGCTGTGCACCAATTATCTGTCATGTTTCTCACATTATACGACGGTGACTATGCTTTGGAAATATTTCGTTGCCTTTGAAGTACGCTGGTTTAAGCCTGAAGCCAAGATAGGTGCCATATAAATGTGATTCGGGAGACAGAGCAAAAATTCAACCCCCAGAATAAAGGAACACACTAACGGGAGGATGAGTCAACCATGGCTGATCAGGGAAGCCAGGGACGGCATAAAAGCAAAAGAGAAAACATACAATGTGGCAAAGGGCAGTGGGAAGTCAAGGGATTGGGAAGCCTACAAAGACCAACAGAGGGCAAAGAAATAAGGAGGGAGAAGATTAAATATGAGGGTAAGATTGCCAGTAATATAAAAGAAGATTACAAGAACTTCTTTAGATATTTAGAGGGTAAAAGAGGCAAAAGTGGACATTGGACCGCTGGAAAATGACATTAGAGAAGTAGTAATGGGGAGCAAAGAAATGGCGGAAGAACTGAATAAGTACTTTGTGTCAGTCTTCACAGTGGAACACACGCATAACATCCCAGGGGGCAGAGCTGAGTATGGTGGCCACCATCAAGGAGAAAGTGCTAGAAAAACTGAAAGGTCTGAAGGTGGATAACCCACTGGTACCAGATGGACTACACCCCAGAGTTCTGAAGGAGATAACTGGAGAGATAGTGGAAGCGTTAATGGTGATGTTTCAGGAATTGCTATAGTCAGGGAGGGTCCCAGAGGACTGGAAAATCATGAATGTACACCCCCAGTTTAAGAGGGAAGTGAGGCAATAGACAGGAAATTACAGGCTGATTAGCCTGACCTCGGTCGTGGGTAAGATTATGAAGTCCATTATGAAGGATGAGATTTCTGAATATTTGGAAGTGCATGGTAAAATAGGGCAAAGTCAGCATGGTTTCATCAAGGGGAGGTCATGCCTGACAAATCTGTTAGAATTCTTTGAGAAGGTAATGAGCAGGTTAGACCAAGGAGAGCCAATGGATGTTATCTACCTGGACTTCAAGAAGGCCTTTGATAAGGTGCCGCACAGGAGGCTGCTGAGTAAGATAAGGGCCCATGGTGTTTGAGGCAAGGTGCTAGCATAGATAGAAGATTGGCTGTCTGGCAGAAAGCAGAGAGTGGGGATAAAGGGATCTTTCTCAGGATGGCAGCTGGTGACAAGTGGTGTTCTGCAAGGGTCAGTGTTGGGACCACAGCTTTTCACTTTATACATTAATGATCTAGATGAAGGAACTGTGGGCATTCTGGCTAAGTTTGCAGACGATACAAAGATAGGTGGAAGGTCAGGTAGTATTGAGGAGGCAGGAGGCTGCAGAAGGATTTAGACAGCTTAAGAGAGTAGGCAAAATGGCAGATGGAGTACAATGTGGGAAAGTGTGCGGTCATGCACTTTGGTAGAAAGAATAGAGGTACAGTCTATTTTCTAAATGAAGAAAAAATTCAGAAATCTGAGGTGCAAAGCGACTTGTAATCCTAGTCCAGGATTCTCTGAAGGTTAACTTGCAGGTTGAGTCAGTAGTTAGGAAGGCAAATACAATGTTGACATTTATTTCAAAAGGACTAGGCTTTATAAGGCTCTGGTCAGACAACATTTAGAATATTTTGAGCAGTTTTGGACCCCATATCTCAGGAAGAATATACTGGCCCTGGAACGAGTGTAGAGGAGGTTCACGAGAATGATCCCAGGAATGAAAGTCTTAACATATGAGGAATGTTTGAGGACTCTGGGTCTATACTCGATGGAGTTTAGAAAGATGAGGGGGGCATCTAATTCAAACTTACAGAATACTGAAAGCCTGGATAGAAGAAGTTTCCATTCGCAGGACAGACTAGGACCCGAGGGCACAGCCTTAGAGTAAAGGGAAGACCCTTTAAAATGGAACTAAGGAGATACATCTTCAGCCAGAGAGTGGTGAATCTATGGAATTTCATTGCCACAAAAGGCTGTGGAGGCCAGGTCATTCAGAATATTTAAGACAGAGATAGCAAGGTTCCTGATTGTTAAGGGGATCAAAGGTTTTGGAGAAAAGGCAGAAGAATGAGGTTGACAAACTTATCAGCCATGATTGAATGGCGGAGCAGACTCGATGGGCCAAATGGCCTAAGTTCTGTTCCATTGTCTTATGGTCTTCTGGGCAAATACTTCTTGCCTCTGGATGAAGATGTTTTTCCAAAATTGCTCCTGTGCATTGATAATGCTCACAGCTATCTTTTTGCACCTACCTGATCCAAATCTGCGATCATGAACACTGAAACATAGAAAACAGGAGCAGGAGGAGGCCATTCAGCCCTTCGAGTCTGGTCCACCATTCAATATGATCATGGCTCATCACCAACACAATCCCACTTTCTCTCCCATACCCTTTGATTCCTTTTGCCCTAACAACTATATCTAACTCCTTCTTGGAAACATTCAACGTTTTAGCCTCAACCACTTTCTGTGACAGAGAATTCCACAGCCTCACCACTTTCTGGGTTAAGACATTCCACCTCATCTCCATCCTAAATAGCCTAACCCCAATCCTTAAACTATGACCCTTGGTTCTCGACTTCCCAGTCATCAGAGACAATGACAGGATGCAGAGCTGGGCAAAGAAGTGGCAGATGGAATTCAACCCAGAAAAGTGTGAAGTGATTCATTTTGGAAGGTCAAATTTGAATGCAAAACACAAGGTTAATGGCGGGATTCTTGACAGTGTGGAGGAACAGAGGGATCTTAGGGTCCACACGTCCATAGATCCCTCAAAGTTGGCACCCAAGTTGATAGGATTGTAAAGATGGCGTATGGTGTGTTGGATTTCATTGGCAGGGGAATTGAGTTTAAGAGCCACAAGGTTATGCTGCAGCTCTCTAAAACCCTGGTTAGACCACACTTGGAATATTGTGTTTAGTGCTGGTTGCCTCATTATAGGAAGGATGTGGAAGCTTTAAAGAGAGTGGAGAGGAGATTTATCAGGATGCTGCCTAGACTGGAGGGCAGAGCTTATGAGGAAAGGCTGAGGGAGCTAGGGGTTTTTTCATTGGAGCGAAGAAGGATGAGAAGTGGCTTGATAGAGGTAAACAAGATGATGAAAGGCACAGATAGAGTGGATAGTCAGAGACTTTTTCCCAGGGCAGAAATGACTGTTACAAGGGGGCATAATTTTAAAGTGATTGAGGAAGGTATAGGGGAGATGTCAGAGGTAGGTTCTTTACACAGAGAGTGGTGGGCTCGTGGAATGTGCTGCCAGCAGTGATAGTGGAGTCAGATACTTTAGGGACATTTAAACGACTCTTGGATAGGCACATGGAGGATAGTAAAATGTAGGGTATGCAGGGTAGTTTGATCTCAGTAGGATAATAGGTCGGTACAACATGGTGGGCCAAAGGGCCTGTACTGTGCTGTACTGTTCTATGTTCTACGTTCAGTGATAACATCCTTGCTGCATATACTCTGTCCAGTCCTGTTAGAATTTTATAGGTTTCTATGAGATCCCTCCTTCATTCTTCTGAACTCCAGTGAATATAGTCCTAACCAATACAGTCAGGAATCAGTCTGGTAAACATTAATTGCACTCCCTGCCTAGCCAGAACATCCTTCCTTGAAGAAGGAAAGCAAACCTTTGGACACCTCTTGGACATTCAGTTTCCAACTGGCTGTATTTTGAATCCAGTTCCCTCTGCCCCCAGGCCTGTGTTATTAATATCTAACAAGGTGTGGAAAAGGGCTGTGTATTCTTACTGCCCTGTCGTGTGAAACAAAGTTGAATATTCTGGGCAAGCAGAAAGAAAAGGAAAGGAACAGTTAGTATGGGGGCATGGTGGCTCAGTGGTTAGCACTGCTGCCTCACAGCGCCAGGGACCCGGGTTTGATTCCACCCTCGGGTGACTGTCTGTGTGGAGTTTGCACATTCTCCCTGTGTCTGTGTGGGTTTCCTCCGGGTGCTCCGGTTTCCTCCCACACTCCAAAGACGTGCAGTCTAGGTGGATTGGCCATGCTAAATCGCCCATTGTGTTCAGGGATGTGTAGATTAGGTGGGTTATAGGGGGATGGGTCTGGGTGGGATGCTCCGAGGGTCAGTGTGGACTTGTTGGGCCAAAGGGCCTGTTTCCACACTGTAGGGATTCTATGATTCTAAGGTGAGGGTGAGCTCCTCCTAGTAGTCAAAATTCTGAAAGAGTTTGATCAAGTGGATACAGAGAGAACATCGCAATGAGATAGACACCAAAAAAATCTAACTGCAAATTCAGATGTAATGCCTGCTCAGGGACTGGTGAGAATTGAAACCCATGACCACAAAGAGTGGTCGACGTGAAGAGTGTAAGATCAATGAAGGAGGAAGCTGTTATCAGCATTTGTACAAAAAGGAGTTAGAGAGAGTCATGATGGAAGATTTAGATGGGAAATTACAAGAGCAGGCTTTTAACACCCAACATGGATTGGCTGAGCCGAATGGCCTATTTGAGTTCTCTCTATCCAGTGAAATCCAATCTGTATATTCCCATTGAAGATGACAAGCTATCTTCCTGCTGCTTTTCCAGGGAGCCAGGGCCACAAGAAAAGTGTCCGGACTCCGAAGTTGCCCAAACAGGGTGGCATGAATTGGGCAGACCTTTTACCACCACTTCCAGCTCACCCACCACCCACAGCAGTGAATCCTGAAGAATACAGCATCAACACAGAGGAAAGGTATGGAGCTCTCTCCTATTTCTAACTGACACTCAGAGCTTTACCCTGCCCACCTGTTTCACCCAGTGACATTGGGGCAAAAGGACCCAGCACCCATGGGTGCCATTTCTTCTGGCCTGGATAACAATTTACCCTCTGTTGGCCCATAACCATCACAGAGTGATGGAAAGGTGAGGTTTCGAAATATGATCTCGTCAGACAACCCAGGGAAGTAAAACAAAGAACTGCAGATGCTGATGATCTGAAATAAAATCAGAAACTGCTGGAGAAATTCAGCAGGTCTGGCAGCATGTGTGGGGAGAGAAAAACAGAGTTAACATTTCAAATTATTCTTCTGATGTAGAGGTGCTGGTGTTGGACCGGGGTGGAAAGGTCAGAAGTCACATGACACTAGGTTGTAGTGTTTATTTAAAATCAGAAGCTTACGAAAGCTTGTAATTTCAAATAAACCTGTTGGACTATAACCGGGTGTCGTGTGTCTTCTGATTTCATTCTTCTGAAGAACAGCCCCTGGACTCGAATTATTAACTCTGTTTTTCTCTGCCCACACATGCTGCCAGACCTGCTGAGTTTCGTCAGCAATTTCTGTCTTTGTGCTAGCTCAATTCTAAATCTGTTTATGCAGATTATCAGAAATTAGTTTGGCTTTAACTCTGAAATAAGCTCGTGAAAATTCCTGGAACCTGTATCATTATGTATTCATTGAGCTATTGGATTGGTCACCCTGATCAATAATCCAAAGAACATCCGTTTGAACCCAACAGGGCCAGTTCAAAGTTATTGATGGATTCAGCTGTCAGTGATGGAAACATGGAGCTGTCACATGTCATCCAAACCTAACTACTTCATTGACCTCTTTTAGAGAAGGAAATTGTCACCCTTACCCAATCTGAATCTGGACCTGATTTAAGTCCTGGGCCAATATATTTGACTCTTAATTAGTTCTATTTATCTGTAGGAGACTGGGGATGGACTGTAAATGTACCCTTTCAGTACATTCCCCTCCCCAGACTAAATTTAAAAAGATACCCACTCCCTGTGTGGCCTTACCCCAGGTGAGCAATCACTACTGTTTCAACGCTGTTAGTGGAACATGCACCACAGTGTGCCCTCAATCTCTAGTAAGACCATGAGACAGGAGGAGGCTGTTCGGTCCTTCAAGCATGCACTGCCATTCAATAGGATCATGGCTGATCCAACATCCTTCACGTCCACTTTCCTGCCCTTTCCCTATAACCTTTGATTCCCTGACTGGTCAAGAATCTATCTATCTCAGCCTTAAATATATACAAGGACTCTGTCCCCATAGTTCTCTATGGCAAGGAGTTCCAAAGACCCTCAACCCTCTGAGAGAAGAAATTCCTCCTCATCTGATGTGGCTGATGGGCAATCCCTACCTGCCTCATCTCACCAGCTCAACTCTCAAACTGGAATTGCAATAGTTCCAATTCTAAAATGCATGTTTAAAACATTTATTCTCAGGATGTGGGCATCACAGGCTGGGCCAGCATTTAATGCCTGTACCTAATTACCATTCAGAAGGTGGTGGTGAGCTGCCTTCTCACAATCAATGTGGTGTAGGAACCCCTCAAGTGCAGTCAAGGATGGATTTCCAGGTTTTGACCTAGCAACAGTGGAAGGAACTTTGATATATTTCCAAGCCAGGATGACAAGGAGAGGAATGTGAAGCTGGTGGTGTTCCTGTGGTATCTGTTGCCCTTATCCTTCTTGATGGTAAAGGTCATGGGTTTGGACGGTGCTGTCTAAGGAGCTCTGTTAATTTGCACTGCACCTTGTAGATGATACACACTGTTGCCACCGTATGTTGGTGGTGGAGATGTGAACGTTGAAGATGGTTAATGTTGTGTCAGTCAAGTAGGCTGTTTTGCCCTGGATGGTGTCAAGCTTCTCGAGTGTTATTAGAGCTGCACCCATCTAGGCAAATGGGGAGTATTCCAGCGCACTCCCGACTTGTACCATGTGACTGTGGACTGGCTTTCGGGAGTCAGGAGGTAAGTTACTCTCAATAGAATTCCCAGCCTCCAACCTGCTGATGTAGTCACTGTATTTATATGGAAGGACAAACTTGAAAGCGGAATACAGGGTTAACGGAAAGATTCTTGACAGTGTGGAGGAGCAGAGGGATCTTGGGGTTCATGTCCACAGATCCCTGAAAGCTGCCACCCAGGTGGATAGAGTTGTTAAGAAGGCATATGGTGTGTTAGCTTTCATTAATAGAGAGATTGAGTTCAAGAGCCGTGAAGTTATGCTCCAGCTATACACATCTGGAGTATTGTGACCAGTTCTGATGGTCTCATTACAGGAAAAATGTGGAAGCGTTGGAAAAGGTGCAGAGGAGATTTACCAGGATTATGCCTGGAATGGAGGGAAGGTCTTATGGGGAAAGGTTGAGAGAGCTAGGGCTTTTCTCTTTAGAACGACGAAGGATGAGAGGTGACTTGACAGAGGTGTACAAAATGATCAGAGGTATAGATAGAGTAGACAGCCGGAGACTTTTTCCTAGGGTGGAGGTAGCTATTACGAGGGGGCATAGTTTTAAAGTGAGTGGAGGTAGCTATAGGGGAGACGTCAGAGGTAAGTTCTTTACTCAGAGAGTGGTCGGGGTGTGGAATGCATTGCCGGAGAGGGTAGTGGAGTCGGCCTCATTAGGGGCATTTAAGCGGCTATTAGATAGGCATATGGATGATAGTATAAGGTAGGGGTGGAGGTTAGATAGACCTCAGGTTTAGGGTAAAAGTTTGGCACAACATCGTGGGCCAAAGGGCTTGTACTGTGCTGTACTGTTCTATGTTCTATGTTCTATGGCTTGTCCAGTTGAGTTTCTGGTTAATGGTAACGCCTAGAAGGTTGAGAGTGTGGGATTCAGTGATGGCAGTGCCATTAAACGTTAAGAGATGATGGTGAGATTGTCTTCTTTTGGAGATGGTCATTGTCTGGCACTGATGTTGCGTGCTGTTAACCACCCAAGCCTGCATGACCTTGTATCCAGACAAACTCCCTTCAGTATCTGCATAACTTTGCAAGTTATGGAATGCTGTTTACATCATATCAAGCCTTTTAAACCCAGCAGACAGCTGTCAAACCAGGGACTGAAGTGTCACTTCAGCTGGAATTTTTCAGAGCTGGAGTCTTGCTGTGCTGCCATTCTTACTACTGTAAGGCTGGTGACTCTGAGCTAACCCCAGAGCAAAAATCAACATGGAGAAATAGGGCAATGCAGCACAAACTTATCTCAGAGAATTCTCTTGACAGTTGGACCTTTTTGATTTCTCAGTTACGATCGCGATGGCCTGTGCCCTCTGCCCCCTGCCCGAATGTACCTGCAGCAGGATGAGCTGGAAGAACAGGAGGACGATGAACGAGGCCCTACACCCCCAGTCCGTGGGGCAGCCTCATCACCAGCAGCAGTGTCGTACAGCCACCAGTCTACTGCCACCCTAACACCCTCACCCCAGGAGGAGCTGATGCCCATGTTACAGGACAGTCAGGAGAACCTGGCTCTCATCCAGACTGCGAGTGACCACAGGTAAATGCACCTGGACAAAAGAACAGACTAGACTCACACACACACTCTCACACACACACGCACACACACTCTCACACACACTCTCACACACACACACACACACACACACACACACACACACACACACACAC